TCTTCTCTCTCTCTTTCTCCATATACATATCTGGAGATATACATATAATATATACTTACATATATAATATTTATGTACATATGTATGTATGTATCTAGGCTCCATTCCCAATGCGGAGCTTGAATTCACAACCCTAAGAGTAAGAGTTGTGTGCTCTAGCAAATGACCCAGCCCGGTGCCCTGATGCCTATATTCTTCTTCCTGTACTCTCTTCCTGAATGACCCACCATCTAAAAAGCTCTGTGTAATCCTTGAGTTTTCCCTCAACCTCCAATCCTAGGCCCAGGTCCAATCAATCACTACCTGCTCATTTTCTCTTGACTATACTGACTTCACACTGCCACTTCATTAGTTCTGGCCACCATTACTCACCAGCTTCCTACCTTGTCTCCCAGACTTCATTTCTCCAAGTACCACATCCCTGCCCCACAAATGCCAAATCTATTTGAGAACACATTCTAAAGCTCAAATTGACCAATTCAATAACTTTCCTCTTTAAACCTCTTCTTTGGCTCACCACCACTCTGTAGAGAAAGTCCAACTTCTTAATAAGTTCTCCCAGTTTACAAGACTCTGCAGAATGTAACTTATGGGCGCAGCCTCCTCTTTCCCTGTCCTCCACAAGCAACACCCTACATTTCTCCCCACCCAACTCATGCGCCAGGTTTATCTCCCATCTATTCTGAGCTATTTTTAATTCCCCCAATACACAACATTATTTCCTGCAACTAGATAAGAAAACAGTATTCCTGCTACCTGATGTACCTACTTATCCTCTCCCTTCCTTTACTTAGATAACTCTTGTTCATCATGCTATCTCAGCTAAGATAGTATTTTTAAAAACCTCAGGGGCGCCTGGGTGGCTCAGTCAGTTAGGCATCTGCCTTCAGCTTGGGTTAATGATCCCAGGGCCCTGGGATCCAGACCCGTGGCAGGCTCTCTGCTCAGCGGGGAGCCTGCTTCTCCATCTCTCTGCCTCTTTCTTTCTCTCTCATAAATAAATAAAATCTTAAAAAAAAAAAAAAAAACCTCACTACTAAAAAGATCACCAAACTTAGGTGTCTCTCCTCTGTGATCCCTATACTTATCCCTATAAATAGCTACTAAATCAATGAACTGTGGTACCTAGCCACTTGTTTCTCTTTCACGCCAAAATGTGAGTTCCTTGAGCTCATATATAATACAGTACTTGACACATAACACATGCTCATAAATGGTTAAGAAGTGAACGGAATCTGCAACATATCACAAAACCCTCCACTGTACTCTGAACTTATTACATTTCTAGTTTAATAAAGAACCCCCAATGATACATATGGAATAATTAAAGAAATGTTCAAAGAGATGTTGTCATGGTCACGTTTCTCTGGCTGGCTATGATAGTCTACCGATCAAACACTAACCTAGATGTTGCTGTAAAGGTATTTTGTGCACGTGATTATTAATCAGATGACTTTAAGAAAATGAGAGTGTTCTGAGTTATCTGGGTAAGCCTGATCCAATCAGTTGAAAGGCTTTAAGAACAGAACTGAGGTTTCTCTGAAGAAGAAGAAATCCCACCTTGGACTGGACTTCAGCTTCTACTTGAGATTTTCAAATCCTGCCTGACTGCCTGTCTGATGGATTTTAGACTGACCAAGCAAGCTCTCACAACCACGTAAGCCAATTCCTTTCAACAAATCTCTTCATTCTGTTTCTCTGATACAACACTGACTGACACAAGCATCTACTAAATAAAAGTAGACACTCAACCAGATCCTGCAATAAACTGATAAAGGGCTCAAGAAGACCAGAAAAAAAAGTTAATTTTAATTGAGAAAGCCCTTTGCTCTGGAACCTATGTTCCCTGTCTCACTCAATCCTCACCCCAACGCTATGGACATAGTTATTATTTCCATTCCTTCCTTCATTCAACAAACACTTCGAATGCTTATCACATGCCTATTTCTGTCAGTCACTGTTCTAGATGTAGAAATATAATATCAAAGAAAACAGACTAGGTCTCTGCTCTCATGGAGCTTAGAGGACAGGTGATGACACTGAACCTGAGTGGTTAGAGAAGACTGCCTCAACTCACAAAGCACTAAGTCAAGGCACCAGAATTTCAACCTGAGTGTATGGTTCCAAAGCTCTTGCTCTTCTAATTCCAATGCTAAAAGACATGTTCACCCAGAGGAATTTTAACAAGCTGGGTACCCAGAATGTAAGGTATATAAAGTGGCTTGTGCCCAGATGCTTCAATGAGTAATGCCTACAGTACGTTGCCCAAGAAAACAGACAATGGCCTAGCACACAAAATTTAAGTCCTGTAGACATGGGTAATGAGAAAGATTCTGTGAAAGAGGTATGAAGATTTGAGCTAGATCTTGAAAGAACACTCGTAGGTCTTCAACTGGCAAAGAAGATGAAGCAACCCAGGAGTCAAGAGGCCCAGCAGGAACAAAAACGGGGACAAAGGAACATGTGATATATATAAAGAAACTTAGAAATAGTTTGGCTAGAGGAGAAAGTCTGGATCCAGGAGCAGTAAAAGGTCACTAGTAGCCTACTTCCCACAACCACCAAAATCCCATTCCCCATCCAGTCCACTTCAAAAATCTTCAGAGTGCTGGGTTTGGGTTTTTTTTTTTTTATATTAGCATAGTAACTACAAACAAAATGGACTGAAGGAAGTTGGGAGTGTGAGTGATTAACAAAACAATTCTGGGCTAGCTGAGGCTGGGAATGGAAGGGAAGAAAAAGATGAAAAAGATTCTAAGAAATTATCTAGGAAAGTGACTTAAAAATTAACGAAAACACTGACAAAAGCAGTCAAAGGGCTGAAATAAGCTTAAATGGAATCATCAGATAATACTTAGCATCACCAAATTCATAGTAGGTACTTAACAAATATTCCTTTTTCAAAAACAGCTTCCCTGAGATAAAATTTGCATAATAAACTATTTACCCTTTTGAAGTGTAGAATTCAATGGGGTTTAGTATTTATTTATAGTGTTGTGAATATATCATCTATAAATCTAATTTTAGAAATTTTCATCACCACAAACAGAAATTTCCTAACCATCAGCAACCTTCTCTGCCCTAACCCTAACTGAAGGCAACCAACAATCTACTTTCTACCTCTAGAGGGTTGCCTGCTTGGGACACTTCATATAAATGAAATCATATAATATGTGGTCTTAATAAATATTTCTTGACTATGAATCAGAACTTCTAGTAAAAGCTAGTTCTGAGAAGGAACTGACAAGTCACTGCTGCATTACTGTGATCAACCAGAGACCTAAACACTCACCTGATCAAGCAAGTAAATTTTTATGCAAAGCATTATGTCTTCCAACTCCAAGATTCTAGGTCACCCATGATAGAGAAGAGAAGGAATTTAAAAATTGGAGAAATTTCTCCAAGGAAAAAGATTATAAAGCACAAAGAGCAGAGACCTGATTTCATTTAAGAAGACCTGTACACAGGAGTTGGACAAAGAAATGAAGAAGAAAGAACCGCCTCAAAGGCAGGAGAATCAGAACACAGGTACAAAGACTGAGGAAGAGGAGCCACCTGTAGTGTAGAAGACTGCAGAGTTGAAGGAAAAAGGTAACTGCAAAAAGAATTTGGTAACTTTGGGAAGCTGAGTTTCTATAGTACATGTGTGCAGTTCAGAAAAGAAGTAATAGCTTTTGAGAGAAAATGAGTAGCAAAATATGGCCAGAAAGAACACAATGTAGTCTTCAGAGTTTTGAGAAGATAAAAAGCAAAGGCACAAGTGAAATATTTCAGGAGTGCAAAGTGTTCTTAAATATAAGGTACAGTTACTTCTAAGTATTCCTTGTACATATTCTCAAGTTACCAGACAGTAAAAAAAGAAAAAACTGTTCTAAGGAATTATCTTCTTTAAACTGAAACCCACCAAAAGGTCTTTATCATCTTAAAACACAGGGGTTATTCCCATGGTTTCTGTATCATGTAGAATCTACGTTTGAACACACGCAGAATATCAAAAATATGTATCTGAGACACAATAAAACTTTATATAAACAGGGGCGCCTGGGTGGCTCACTGGGTTAAAGCCTCTACCTTCGGCTCAGGTCATGATCTCAGGGTCCTGGGATCGAGCCCCACATAGGGCTCTCTGCTCAACAGGGCACCTGCTTCCTCCTCTCTCTCTGCCTGCCTCTCTGCCTACTTGTGATCTCTGTCAAATAAATAAATAAAATATTTAAAAAAAAACTTTATATAAACAAATGAAACCATTGATTCCTCTCTCACCCTATGTATTTATTTTTTTTTAAGGCTATGAAAACAGCGATGAGAATCTTATACAGAGAAATACAGCTAAGATAACTGGGCAATCACTAAAAACAAATTCATGTTATAATTCAGCCCAAATCTGTCATCAGCTTATAGTCATAATTTCATGTCTTTCAATTTTAAATACAAACAAAACACACATTCCACACAAATTTACTTCTATGTATTAATCAGGCTAATATGCTTTATATTCAAAATAAGAAATCAGGAAAATTTTAAACTCCAAAAGTTTTTAAGTGAGGTTGACTATTTATCAAAAAAAACCTTGAGCTAATAGGATTTATAAATATTTCCTTTTCACAGGAAGTTAAAAATGTGATGAAGTTTTCTTTATGCTTAACTTACAATTGTAAAAGGCAATCCTCAGAGAGCACAGTTGCTCAAGAAGAACAATAGAACAGCTTGAGGTTACACTGAATTAAGAGCAAAATGGGAAGATGGGAACTGAACGTGATTAAGTATAAAAATTTATAGATGTAGGGGCGCCTGGGTGGCTTAGTGGGCTAAAGCCTCTGCCTTCGGCTCAGGTCATGATTCCAGGATCCTGGGATCGAGCCCCACATCGGGCTCTCTGCTCAGCGGGGAGCCTGCTTCCCCCTCTCTCTCTGCCTGCCTCTCTGCCTGCTTGTGATCTCTGTCAAATAAATAAATAAAATCTTTAAAAAAAAAAATTTATAGATGTAAAATTCACTTACCTTTTTAAACATAACTAGTGAGATGACCGCTGATGCTGTGAAAAGTGCTGCTATGATTATCATCATAATTCCAACAGGAATACTTTGGTTGAGACCAGTAAGGGATGAAATCCAACCACTAAGAAGTAATTACAAAAAAAAAAAAAAAAAAAAAGTGTGATTAGACAAGTAAGTGAATGACTGCTTTAAAAAAAAATAGTAACCAATACATTTTCAGCACTTATAAGCCAGGCAATATCCAAGTTATTCATATTAACTCACTTTATTTTCACAATTCCATAAGATAGATGCTGTTTTAAATCCTTATTTTGCAGATGAGCACCTCAGTCAGAGATACTCACTAACTTGCTCAAAGTCACACGGCTAATAAATGGCATAGTCTGAATTCAAATCCAACACTAAGTACCAGAGCCTTAAGTGTGTACCGCCAGATTTTACTTTTTTTTAAGCAAATGTGCTCATTTTTACTTTCAGTTCTTTTTAAATTCTGCTTAATTACGAAAGAAAATATTTGCGAACTGTATACCCAACCAACAATTAGCATCCAGAATATATGAAGAACTTTCAAAGCTCAATGGTTAGAAAAAAAAAATTCCATTAGAAAATGGGCAAAAGACATGAAAATATGTTTCAAGGGGATATAAAGAGGCAAACAATCACAAGAAAAGAAGTTCAACATTATGAGTCATTGGAGAAATACAACTTTTTAAAAACTTTAGTGAGCTATCACTACACATCTATCAGAATAGCTAAATTTTTTAAAAATGGTAACACCAATCCTGGTCAGGATGTGGAGACTGAGTCACTCATACATTGTTGGTGGGGATGTAACCTGGCAGGGTCATTCTGAAAAACAGTTTGTTAGTTTCTTAAAAATGACTACACATGCAACTTCCATATGAACCAACAATTATACTCTTGGGTATTTATCACAGAGAAGTGAAAGTGGATGTTCACACAAAATTTGTTCACAAATGTTTACAGAGGCTTTATTTATAATAGCCTAAAGTTAGAAACAGTCCAGAGTCCTTCAAATGGTGAATGATTAAACAAACTGTGGTACATCTACAGTTTTACTCAGGAATAAAAATGAACAAACTATTGATACACACAACAATCGAGATGAATCTCTGGAGAACTACACCAAGCAAAGAAAAGACAAAAATTACATACCCTATGATTCCATTTCTATAACACTCTTGAAATGACAAAACAATGGAAATGATGAACAGATTAGTGACTGCTGGGTTAAGAAGTAAATGAGGACAGGAGGAAGTGAATGTGCTATAAAAGGGCAACATGGAAGATTCTGTGGTGATGGAAAGGTTCTTTATCTTTGCTCTACGAATGTCAAGATCCTGGTTTTGACATTACACCACGGTTTTGCAACATGTTACCAACAGGAAAAACTGGGTAAACAGTATTACTTCTTGTAACTATGTGAACCTGCAATTATCTCAAAATAAACAAAATTTTTTTTTTTTTTAAATCTGCTGAATCATATGAGGTCTAGGTATCTTAAAACATGTCATCCTATATGCCCCCTCACTAGCAGTCTCCTTTGCTATGAAGCCACTACACAATGTTATGCTCAATTTTAACACATTTTTCTAAATTTGTGCTAAAAAGCAAAAGAAATTACTTCAATTTCATAAGAATAAAAAAACTGGTTCTATTAACATAGGCAGTATATTTTTAATTAAACATTTAAAACATTTCCTTTCCCTCATATGCCAAAGACTAAATACACTATTTGAAATGAGAATGTATTTTTTTAGAACTAATTTAAAGTACCCATATAAATTCTCTTCATGTATGCATGACCATTAGAGGATCCACAAAGCTACCTATAGTCTGACTGCCATTCTCCACTCTGATTCAGAACTAGCACACAAAATTTAAGTCCTCTATATACTCTAGTTACATCCTTAATTTTTGTAAACACTGCAGCAAAGTTACCTTGTACATGCTTTTGCTTATAAGAATTCAACTGTATGCAACTCAATTAAAATAAAAAAGAAGAGGGTTAATTTCAGAGATGTGTACTCTTCACCCACCATTTCATTCAAGGAATGTTTGCCCCAAAGTGTATGAAGAGAGATACCAATCTGCCATTATCTCCTAACCTGAGTGTAAATAATTTAGTTTCAGTTTCTGAGTGTCTCCCACAGAGTGAACATTGCACTGATCCCATTTTCCAAAGATAAGTGTCCATGTGCATAAGTGTGTATTTGTGTGTGTATGGAAATATACATCACAATACCTAAATAGTGCTTTACACATAATAGATACCTTTTTCCTTAAGTCCTAGAAGTTCTTTTCTCTCCTTTTCACAATCCTTGGCCCAGCTATTTGACAACTCCTCAGTATTCTTTTTACTCTTCCTCTTAGTGCCTGTTACATACACATTTCATTTAAACTAGATACAATATGCTATTTTTTAAAAACGACAACATAATTTTCAGAATGGTTTGCCCAAAAGTTATGCCTTTGACATTTTTTAAATTGCATTTTTTAGTATTTTCACATTTGTTTACTTTTGCTAATCTGGCTTTTCTATGTCAACTATTTTTAGGAAGCCAAAATTACATAGAGATACTAGATAAACAGATTAAAACTAAAGTAATTAAAGTAAATGACTTACCAGTTTCCCCAATTGTGAAATCCTGCAGCTTGGAGTACATGAACAGCAAACTGACAAATATAGACGAAGAAGAATACAAAGAATCTGAATGAACTGTCACTCCTTTAAAAAAAAAAAAAAAAGGAGGAGGAAAAAAGAAGAGTTGTGTCATTTTTCTCAGTAACTTTGTATTACATGAAGAAAGACATTCAAACACTGAGAAATAACAGTATTTTTAAAAATACCACTGGCAACTATTTAAGGCTATCAAGATAATGTGTGTGATCCCTTTTTCCAAATACTCAATAATATTTTAACTTGTTTTTTTGTCCTTTCACATTTCAACTATATCACAAATACCTTGGCAAAAAAGTTTTTGTTTTCTTCTAAATTATTAAACAGTTTCGTTGAGTTTAACATACAATAAACCAACTATTTAAATACACAATTTGATAAGGTTTGACATACATATATATACTAATGCATCTATTTCAATCAAAATATTAAGTCTCCTTGTCCACCTTGATAATCCCTCCCTTTTTATCCCACCCACTGCTTTCTGTGACTATAGTTTTCATAGTTAAGAATTCTAAATAAATGAGATCATACAGTATATACTTTCCTGTCTGCCTTCTTTCACTCAGCACAATTATTTTGAGATTTGCTCGTTTTCTTGCAACATATCAAGAGTTTCATTCCTTTTCATTGAGTAGTAGTCGACTGTACAGATACTCCACAGCCTGTCAATTCATTCACCTACAGATAGACTGTTAGGTCATTTGTAGTGTTTTTACTATTATAAATAAAGGTGCTATTAACATTCATGTATAAGTCTTCCCATGAACATAAATTTCCTTTTCTCTTGGGTAACTATCTAAAAGTAGAATGGCTACATCACATGATAGGTATACGTTTAACTTTTTAAGAAACTGCCAAACTTTTCCAATAGGGTTATTCTATTTTATAGTCCCAGTGGCACTCTAGGAGTATGCCAGTTCCTCCACATCTCACCAACACTTGGTATGGTCAGTCCTTTAAATTGTAGCCATTCTAGTAGGTATATACTACTATCTCATTTGATTTGAATTTACATTATCCTAATAGCTAACATTGAGCACTTTTTCATTGCCTTTTGCCATCCATCTTCTGTGGGGAATTGTTAAAAATATTCAAAAATCGTTTCCCAATGTTTTAACTGTTTTTTTCTCTTATTGTTAGGTTTTGTGCGCTTGCATGTATCAGTCCTTTATCAGATATATGTTTGGCAGGATTTTTCTCCCAGTCTCCGGCTTATCCTTTCATTCTTTGCAGAATGTCTTTTAAATAGCAAAAGTTTTGCCTTTTTATGAACTCCGATTTGTGAATTTGTTCTTTTATGGATCTTGATTTATCTGAGAAATGTTTGACAAAGCCAAGAACACAAAGATTCTTTTTCATGTTTTTCTCTAATAGTTTTATACTTTCAGTTTTGCATTTAAATCGATGTTCCTTTTTAAGTTAATTTTTAAAAATATAGTATGAGGTATGGATTAAAGTTTTTTTCTCATTTATACAGCATCATTTCTTTAAAAGACTGTCCTTTCTGCACAACATTACCACTGCATCTTTTTAAAAAATCAGTAATCTGTATATGGATGGATTTATTTCTGGATACTCTCTTCTGTCCCATTGTTCTACCTGTCTACCTCTATGTCAGTATCACACTATTATGATTACTGGGGTTTTCTATTAAGTCTTCAAATTAAGTAATGTTAGCTGTCCAAATTTCTTGTCCTTTTTCAAAGTTGTTTTGGTTATTCTAGGCTTTTACATTTCTATATGCCCTTTAGAATCATCTTATTTGATTCTATAAAACAACCTGCTGGGATTTTTATTGGAATTGCATTGCATTTACAGATCCATTTTGAGAGAATTCATATCACAGTAACATCAAGTCTTCCCAACTATTAACAAGGTATATTTCTCCATTTATATTTTCTACACAAATGGCCAAATGACCTGCAAATAAAGACAGTTTTACTTTTTCCTTTCTAGGCTAGGTGCCTTTTTTTTTTTTTCCTTGCCTCTTTATATTGGACAGAACTTTCATTACAATGGGAAGTGTTGGGAATGAACAATGTTGATCTTAGGTAGAAAGACTTAGTCTTCACTATTCAGTATTGTGTTAGCTGTTACAGCTTTTCATAGATGCTCTTTATCAAGTTTAGAAAGTGCTCTCTTTTTTAAAAGATTTATTTATTTATTTTAGAGAAAGGGAGAAAGACCACACACGGGGGGGAGGGGCAGAAGGAGAGGGAGAAAGAGTATCAAGCAGACTGCATGCTGAGCGCAGAGCCGACACCGGGTTTGATCCCACAATGTGAGATCAGGACCTCAGCCAAAACCAAGAGTTGGACACTTAACCAACTGCGCCACCCAGGTGCTGCTTAAGTTCTCCTTTTTCTAAGTATACTAAGTATTTTCATCATGAGTGATTGAGTGTTGTATTTTGTCAAATGTTTCTTCTACATTAAGATAATCATATGGTTTTTCTCTTTTAATTTATAATATGGTGAATTACGCTAATTAATTTTTAAAGGTTAAACCAGCCTTGAATTCCTGGAAAAGCTCTACCTGCTTGATTATAACATGGTATCCTTTTTTTTTTTTTTTTTTTTTCCAGATATAAATGTTTATTGTCTCTGTCGCAAATTGATTTCCAACATTGACTGGTACTTAGGACTCTTTTTTTTTTTAATTTTATTTTTTATAAATTGATTATAACATGGTATCCTTTTAACAAACTATTGCATTTGGTTTGGCAAGATTTTCAACCACTCCAAATTTATTCCATTTTCTTTTCATTGCAGTGACCATTCCAACCCCGAAACACATTTTTTAAGGCCCTTTAACATTTCAACTTTCTCAGACTCAACATAAAACTGTTTCCTTCCCCAGAGATAAAAACAGAAGCCATAGAAATAAACCTCAACTTTCTTCTCCATATAATGACTTTCCAAATTTATATATACCGCCAACCTTCCTTATTATTTGTGAGGAGGCAGTAACACTCATTTCAAAATTAACACTTGCATAAAAATCTTCAGTCCATCATTTCCAGTTCCTCTGGGACACTCTCCTTCAGTAGTTACTTAACTTCTTCCCTAACGTGTCTTCAGTTCTTCCACTAAGATCTTCTCAGTGTATAAACACAGTTCTCATCTTCAACTAGCCCTCCTTTAACTCTATCTCCCGTGCTAGACTTCCACCTACTTGATCTCCCTCCTTCCCATCAATAAGAAGTCTTGATTTCCTCTACTTCCCTCTTCTCATTCACTTCTCAACCCACTGCAACTTAGCCTTTCCTCACCTATTCTTGCAGAGGTACTTCAAAGTCACAGGCAGTCTATGAATTTCCAAACCAAATTTCTCAAGTCTGTCTTTATTGTGTGTGTGTGTGTGTGTGTATATGTGGGTTTGTTTTTTTTTTTTTTTTTTTTAAAGGAATCTCACACTAAAGATCTTCCTTAAAAACTCTTTGACCTTGGCTTCTATAATATTACTCACTTCTACTTCTGTTTCTTCTCTAATCTATATTACTTCTCAGTCTCTTATTTCAAGATCCACCTCCATGTCATATTGTAAAACTGTCAGGAAGTCTTGTATCCTCTAATGTTTGACCCACCAAGAACAGGATGAAATCCAAATAATATAACCCAGCATATGTATATCTTCGTAACAGAAACTGGAAGAACATGCTTTGCTATCCCAATGCTTTTATTTACACTGTGTCTAAAATGCCCAGTACAGTCCTCTTTTCTGCTGGCAAACATGTACTCAGCTTTTAAGATGAGTTGCTAAGCCTACCCCACACTAAAATAGAGGACAATTAAGCTCTACCCCTCAAGAGTAGAATCCACAATTATTATTTGGAAATCTGTATTAAGATTTGTCCTTTCAGCTCCATCTGTTTATTCATCATTTATTTCTATCAGTATGGACTCATGGATATTTATTTCATTCTTTAGGTTAAAATTAAACACTATCATTATTTCAGTTTTAGCCTTTTAGAATCTATTTGCTTAAGCATTTGATCTCTGCTCATTTTGTATTCTCCTTGCTTTAGAATCACCCATTTCTCCAAAGTGCAAGAAGGCAGACTTTAATAGTTCATGAATAATGTTTTCTATACTAGATTTAAATCAAATGGTTCCACCTTTCACAGTAATTTATCAGTAATATATTACACCAAAGTTGGTATTGCTTACTGACCATAAAACTTAGAAAACTTCACCAACAAAATACAAACAAGCAACAAAAAGTTCACAAAATTCTATTTTTATTAATACCAAATAGAAATCCCATGTATGCTTCATTTCTCCAGGCTAATACATGATAAACAAATACCATTTTTAATAAATCAATTTCTTTACTCTTTTCAAATAGGTACTCCTGAAATATATTTCTATTTCCCTATCCCTTTAGTAGAAAAAGATTCTAACTTATAATTTTCTTGTTCTTAAGTTTTTACTTCATTACCTGTGTACCAAGAGACCATATTATCAAATGGTTAAAATTATATATGGAATATATACTCTGAAATAAAAGCTTCCTACATAATGTCTAAAGGCTTCACAACAGCGATTTCAGTTCCCTAAGAAGGCTCTTTCTTGGTTCCAAACTCACAGATAAATTCTAGAAGCTACAACTGCCTAATAACCACCTCTGGTTAAGAAATCTATTAGAAAATACAGAATACGTTTTCAAGTCCAATGAAAGAAGTCCTACTAAAAAGCAAATATTTCTAAAATACTGCTTTCAGATACAAATTGAAGAATGTTAAAACTGGGCACCTGGGTGGCTCAGTGGGTTAAGCCTCTGCCTTCGGCTCAGGTCATGATCTCAGGGTCCTGGGATCGAGGCCCGCATCGGGCTCTCTGCTCAGCGGGGAGCCTGCTTTCTCCTCTCTCTCTATGCCTGCCTCTCTGCCTACTTGTGATCTCTCTCTGTTTCAAATAAATAAATAAAATCTTTTAAAAAAAAAAAGAATGTTAAAACTGGTTCACCTTTCTCTCTCTTTTTTTTTTAAGATCTTATTTATTTATTTGACAGAGAGAGATCACAAGCAGGCAGAGAAGCAGACA